CAAAAGCGTGCAACTGGGAGCCATAATGCCTTCGCTCAAAGAGGCGCTGCAAACGCACGATTAAGTCATTCCTAATCAAGTGTTCGAAAGACTTTGGTTTAACCCAGTGGTAGAAGCTAAGTATTTCGTTGTGGAGACTATCAAAGAAACAACTATTAGTTTTGCTGAGACCGGCCTGGGGATCGGTGCAAGCATACCTGCATCCTACATGGAACGTGGAACGGCAGACTGAATCAACCCAGGGAGTGGGATTTTGGTCATCGAAGGGTCGCCATTTAAGGAGCATAGATCCATCGGAGTTGAAAAACCTGTCTGGCTTCCCCGGTTTGCCAGGGCGTCTATTCGGGCCTGTGATTTCATCGTCGTAAGTTCGTTTTCTGCTACCAAGAGCAGGGTCACTATCCTGGTTCATCGAGCTTTTCGGTCCCCGAGGTGCATTTTCAGGGGGAACATCCATTTCTATATCATCGAGGCCAAAGGAGATAAAATCATCATTTGACACAACAGCATTTTTCTCTTCAGGTTTTGGCTGGTCCACAGATTGTATCCTTGCTTTGCGGATCAATTTGACGACGTCTCTTCTCTTCGCAGGATTCTCATCATAGGGGGGGAGGACAGTGTAAGGATCTGGATTCGACCACTTGGGAACCTGTGCGACAGGCCCTGTGTTTGATTCGATAGCCTGCTTCTTGCGTGGAGGAGGATGGGAACCCTCGTCCGCAGAGGAAACTTCCATCTCTGCCTCGTCGCTATCACTTAAATCTTCCAAGGCCATAAACTTTCTTGGCTTCTGTTCTTCGCTCTGTGAGCCACCTAGAAATTCAGGTGTTGTTTCCCTTTGCAACATCAACAATAGGGGTCTCGCTGAGGTTTTGGGGAACCGGGATCGAAACGTAAATTCGGGCTGCTGGCGGGGGTTTCCGCCTTGCCTATTCCCACGAAACTCAAACGCGGGGGACATCGTAGAAAGATTGTATTAATTTAACGGTACGGTATTCCAGCTAGTACGTTGCAACGCGATGTTTCCACGGTATGTCGGCTGTCTTCAGTGGTCAGAAGTTCGCATGTTGCGGAGTTATTCGATGCTGACGAGTTGAGTCGTCTAGAAAAACAAGTCTGTTTTGGCGTGTGGATAGACGGCAGTTTCAATTGAGGAAGGCGGTGAGAGGACTCTCCGGGCTAACTGGTAGCTAATAATATTTTTTTTGAAGCGAGGAGCTGACTCATTATAACTTAGCTACATAGTTAAACTTAACTATAACTACAACCATGTGTGAACACGCACGGCGGCCGAACGATAGTAGGGCAAATGGCCAACACCCCAACGGTTCCTCTAATAACGTGTTGGACTTTGTTAAGAAGCTCATTGCGTAAATTATCGGTGTTTACCGGAGGGAAATGTTGGCATTGCGGCAGCAACCAGTGCCTGGGGCGTGTAAATATGGGCTCGAAACGGCCTCGCGAATGGAGATCCTGAGCTGAAATGGGATTAAGGATCCCATAATAAGGTTCTGGAACCTCTGCTAAACAGGAAAAATCAGCCTGGAAGCATATGGGACCCGATCTGAGGTAGTTACGTGTGTAGCATTGGTAAAAATCAATGCTCTGTCATCGAAAAACCAATGAACGATGAGGACAGCTGCACTTACGCTTTACCGCAAATCCCAAGGAACAAGTCAAGTGAATTGAAATTACAAACAATGTCTGGTTGATGACAGGTTAAGCAATTACCTCCAGAATTTATTGGGATAGTGCTCTTGAGAGCACCCATCACGGATATATTTATCGTATCACTGCGCCATTGTCTGCAAGGCTAGGAGCTTTCTCAAAGTGCAGTTCATTAAGTGCATCCTCCGTCTTGCTCTCCTATCCGGACTACTCTATTGCTGGTTGGACAAATCAGCCAGGTTGTTTGTTTTTGGTGACTACGACGAGCAAGGGTTCCCCGCATTGACTCCACATTATACTAAATAGTTGGCAAGTCAAGGGACTAAGTTTACAAAGACTATTTCTTCTCTGAAAGGAAAATGAACTTCTCTCTCGTGTTGAAGAGGAGGATCGCATTCAACGGCACGATACGAAAGGCAATATTTAATGACGTCAATTCGGGGTAACTGGAGTCTTCGAACACTTCCTGCTACGGCAGAGACGTGATTTTGTCCTATGTGAAAGAAAAATGCTGTGAACACAAGGCACATGTTGCGAGATGGTAAATGATATGAGTTGGTAAAAGGGAAAGTTCGGTAAGATGTTCCTTTCTGCACGTTGATAGTTTTATTACGGTTGGTTGCTGATCTCCTTCTCTCCTCCAGTTTTTTTTTCCTCATTTTTTTCTTTCTTTGGCTTTTATCTCCAAAGTGCCGTTTTTCGCAGTCCGATTATCAAGCGTAACGCCTCGCATGTCTTGTCTCGTAGCTCTTCCTAATGTTATTAACCTGGATGCCTAAACGATGGCAATTGCCTCAGGCTCGGCACTAATTGTTGAAGTTAGTTGAACTGCCCTTGTTTGTCTCCAGAGTCCATTGGATCTCGAATATTACGCTAACAACTCAAGGTTTTATGAAGACTGTCGCTTACATACGTGTCTACCCCCATGGGATGTCTAAACACTTGAACGTTTTTCGAGTTTCGTATAAAGAAGTCAGCTTAAAATAAATTCACAACCCAGTTCACGCCACTTTTGACCTTCGACTAAGTTGAACTATGCATGCCATGAGCCGCATTACGTATGCATTCATGGCATTCATGAAGTCTCCATCCATATGACTTCCAGGTTGCAGTACATTTCAGGCAGAAGGTTTATTTAAACACATAGTTCTGTTGTCAAAAGTGATAGGAGGGAGCAAAACCTGGCTTCCCAATTTCCAAGCTGGATACAGGGTGTTGCAATATTTAAACAGGGCGATATCCGCAAACTCGAGTACATTTCTTTAATTCATTGAAGCAGTCCCAGTTTGCATTGAATGAAAAGGAAAATCCTACGGACTCGTAATCTTCTAACATATTCATCCTTCTCTCATCCAATGGCGAACCCAAAGCTTGTTACAGTTTTTGGTGCAACAGGTAGCGTTTGAATTTATTTTCATATCTTCGTCTCATCAAGTTTCGGTCACTTCTCATACATTGTTGTACAGGCAACCAAGGTGGCGCTGTTGTGAAGTCACTTCTTCGCAATAGCGCGGAATTCCGTGTCCGAGGAATCACCCGCAGCCCAGATTCGGAAAAGTCGAAGGAACTGGCTAAAGCTGGTGTCGAGGTTGTTAAAGCAGATGGCTTTAAGAAGGAGGAGTTGGTAAATGCATTTAGAGATAGCTGGGCAATCTTTGCCAATACCAACTCCGATGATCCGGTAAGAACTTGGAAGGGCCCTAGATCCATGCGCTCAAGCATATAGCGATGTAAGTTGCTAACACTCAATATAGACATTTGACGATCCAAATGGGCCTACAGAGCTGGATCTTGGTCGTATCATCGTTGATGCAGCAGATGAAGTTGGCGTGGAGCATTTCATGTATAGCTCGGCGGGCTGTGTGAGTGAGATTACAAATGGAGAGTTGAAGCTGGATATGATGGACCGTTAGTATATAATATATTCTTCTATTTATTCTATTTATTCTATTTACTATTTACTAACTGCGTTCATAGACAAGAACAAAATCGAGCAGCATGCCCGCAATAGTCCTAATATCAAGAATGTAACAGCCATAAATGCAGGCTGGTATTTCGAAAACTTCATGTCACCATTCATTGCGGAGGTGATGGGCGGATTTCCCTTCGAGACTGATTCGGAAGGTTATGTCACTCTCTCTCAACCCTTGCCCGGCGGCGTAGGTCTTGTCCCGTTCATTGCGATCGAGGAGGATTACGGGGATCTTGTTCACGGTGTTTTGATCAACCCAGACACCTGGAGTGGGAAAGTTATTCAAGCAATCAGTGAACTAGCGACCTTCCCAGAAATTACCGAGGCATTCACAAAAGGTATATCCCCCCCCCCTCCCCCCCCCCCCCCAATCAGTCATGGAATATCTTAAACAAGTTGACTGAGACCGCTTTGTTTCACTTTAGTTACGAGCAAAAAGTCCCGCTATGTTCCGATCAATTTAGAGAAGTTCCCCATCATGGGAGGCATCCGGGCTTTGGAAAATATTAAGAATATGTTTGCTTTCACTCAATTGGTTGATGGTCGATATTTCTCAAATATGGACTTTGATGTTGAGCAGGCGAAGGCGCTAAAGCAGGTTGTGCAAAAAGCACTGGCTGTCAGGGAGCCAAAGCCATTAATGACCTCGGAACAATTCTTTACAAAAATGTTCAGTTGGGAAAAAGCTGAGTAAATGAATGGTACTCATTTTTTTGTTTTATATTTATATTTATATTTATTTATTTATTGCAGGACAGAATGAAATAAAAGTGTCCTGATCGTTACTGGATGGCCGCATGAGTACAATCACGAGACAGGAATGCTAGATCTGGCTGGATTGATTACACGGACTAAGCTGTGTCGTGAGGTATATGGGGGTTGGATATGGGATACACGGCAACGGAAATACGAGGGGATCATAGAGTGCTTGAACCACCAGTTATCTATCGCTGGCGTTTCAGTGAGTAGCTTGAAAGGAATGGCAATATAAAGAAAGGTATATCACCCATCTGTACTGGCAAGCCAGTTTTGAATCATCTCTGTATCCTTTGGTTTGTCGTCTGAGTTGCCGGATTACAATCCCCTTTTGTTAGAATTTTCCGGAGTGAGGCTTACCCATATCTTCAGGAATTTATAATAGATTTGATCATCCATGCTAAATATATTTGAGTTGTCAAAGTTCCACTCGTTCAAAACGCCCGAGATTTGAGACCCAGAAGGGCTATTTATCTGGTGATTGTCCTCAAAGAAGGGACCCAACTAGGTATTTAAACCAGGTCTGTGCCATGAACTGATGGCTGAGCGATGGAGTTTGCGGACGAAAGAGCCCTCACAGCTCTATAAGCTCTAATATTTCCAGATGGCATCGCACTCCCACTCTTCGGGTTCCAATAACCTACTTTACGCTGTATACGTTTCGGAATTATCGAAGACCAAACATCTTTCTCGTCCTCCAAGAATAAGGGGCCCACTTCTAAAGTCTGAAGAAATATCCGATCTTAGGCAAATTCACAAGAACTCCCATGACAAAACTACAGTACACGGCGTTTCCACTTGCAGTGTCCTAGCTGAGGAACTCATGGCGATACAAATATCGGGTTTGCGCAATACCGCATCCCAAACCGTGGCACATAGGCAACGATTTCTGAATCTTTGCCACGCACCACCTGTCATTTGACAAGTGGATTTTTCTGCTCATCATATGTGCCTCTCAGATGAAATACGCAATCAGCACGTAACTTTTAGCAAGCATGTCGAATAGGTTGAACCTGCTGTGTACGTAGCCCACGAGCACGAGTCCGTCTCCATTTTCAAGGGTGGTAAGGAGATGAATTCGATGGCATCAATGAGAACAATTGTAGATTCTAATCACCAGGCCGAAGTCCGTCAAGCATCTGAGTCTTGACTGCACAATTAGCCGGAAGTAATTTTGGTTCTGCAGCGCCGGCTGAACCTCTACAATCCCAGTAGTTGAAAGCATGGCCTACAGCGCGAAAAAAAAAAAATGTTCCAAGGCAGGGTTTTCAGGTTTTGGGCAAGATAGGGCCAAAGTAAAGAACTCAGGGAAGTAATTGGATTTGGGGATCAGGCAATGGATATGACGAGGATCGGGAAACAGAGTGATAGGAGATTTAGCATGGTATGGTAGGCATTGTTGGGTTCAAAGGAAAATGGAAGGAAAATAGTCCATAACTATCTCATTGGCCAATAATTAAAATCCCAGGGACAAGCTCAGAAGTCCTTTGACACCCGCCAAAAAAGAATCCCGCTTGAGCCAACCACACCGGCAATTGGAAGAAGACATATTAAAAGAAACTCCCATTTAACTACTCGATTAGTTAGGAAATAGCATTGGCCATGGCTTTCCAACATTTACCATTCCTGATATTATTATCCAAAAGCAGACAAATCACCATCCTGTAAACAAGGGGGTTTTGACAGGACTTCCGCCCTTTGATTTTTGGATAAGCATTTCTAGCTATCGACGAGTCTAATAAGCAACTTCAAGCTGGACAATCTGAGATGTGAGTCGGATGATCCCGCTACTAGTGATTGGCGGAACAGGATAGAAATGTGTTATGGTTCGACTGGAACGAGGAAAGGCGGAAACTTAGTTGTGGGAGGTTTCAGCTGGTAAGTGTTTTAACTAAGCGCTTGATTCGTTTATCTAATTTAATTTTAATTTACCACTTTGGTTGGGCTAGGAATGCAAACTGTGGCTCGCAGTAGTTTATAAAAACCTTGCCCGGAGGTTTGGCAAAAGCACTGTCTTTTTATTTTTTATTTTTTATTTTTTTTTGATGACCCGCTTTTTGTCTCTGTCGGCAATATAAATAGTGGGAAGGATTCCGGCCTCTGGAGAATTTTGTTGATTTTGATTTCGTCTACGATTACAAGCTTCCATCGAAATCACAGGAATATTCTGTACGAAACATATTTCAAACATCCCAAATCCCATCCTCTTTTTATTTATTTATTTATTTATTTATTATTATTATTATTATCAAAATCCCCCGCACTTTTCAACATGGGTAAGTGAATTCTTCCATAATTTCAAACCCTTCATATGTGGATGCCATTACTGGTGTCGCCTTTCTTGTCTTTGTGCCATGCTCATGGACTATGCGCAATATATAGGTGACTGTGGCTGCAGCTGTGGCTCTACCTGCACATGCCCCTCAGGCCAATGCTCTTGTGTAAGTGACTAACTGCTTACTTTGTAAGATCTTTAGTTTTGAACGATCTATATTAATGATCTGTCAGCAGAAATAAACATGCCGCTGTGACAACCCAGCCAGACATGTACTTCCTACATCGATCCTGAATTCCCCGATTGTTTTAAGGAAACACATTGGCAATCTTCCCTTGGTGACTAGGAGTAACAATTTCCAATTGCTGTTCCTGTGCGAAAGATAGTTATCCATGGTTATTGTTGCTAGAAAGGGGTGGTGTTTGATATCAATCGACATCCTGGTGGGTGCGAGAAGATGTGCCTGGGGCGGGTTTGGTATCCGCATGCGTTTTTTGGGGAGCTTGTTTTCCGACAACCGGGGGATGCGCGGGGAAATATCGGAGGACTCTGATATTATACATGCGCTTTGACTTGCTACCTGTCAATTTTTGTGATGCTTGATTGAGTTCTTTGCCCTGCTGTCCAACTGCCTTGCTATCAATTCCAACAGAAACGCTCTCACATCACGGTCCGCTCATTAATAGGTCGGAGATCAAATGACATCTGATATTTTCATTATACAACGTCGCACGTATGTTTTGAGTTTTCCGAAAAATTTTCTTGGCTAAATGGCATGTGAATCCACTGTTCTTCATTGAGAGATATTTATTAACAAATAGAAGAGGAGGAAGATCCAACTTAGTTCTGGAACCTGAGAGAATAATTACAAAACTTACCCGTCAAAGTTTTCCCATTTCGTGATAATATACAAAACCAAATCCATCATATGTATAGCCGGATAAAGCCTACCGATCTATCCGTATGTATCATTTCCATCTAGAGAGTAATCCCGCCAGAGCCGACATGCCTCCCGCATGGACCTTGAAAGGTCCTTTCAGATACAGATAGATCAGGATATCGGTAGCCTTGTGATGAAAAGCGGGACAATACCACTCAACCACGGGAATCAAATCACAAGCTTTCTTAGCACGTACATCTGTATGGAGTTCTAGTAAAAACGAGCATTTTAAAAACAGGGCCTAACACCGCACATTCGATACAGTTGCGCCAAAGAACTGAAATTCAAACACTGATGGATAGCAATGGAAACCGCTGCTATCCATATCGCTTATATCCACTATCCACATTTTTTGCAAGTTCATGCTGCAGCAGCTTTGCCAGCAGCTTTATCACAGCCACCACCAAACCTTGTACGCTATGAGACCAACCATGGAACTGGACTGCTGGAAGGGTCCAGCGACCAGGTTCGCGGAGGAGATTCCTAGTGGTGATTTCAGTTTTATGGCGGGCTGGTACTAATAATGCTGTTATCACTAAAAGAGCCATGATGAAGCAACGTTGACAACGGCGTGGTGCGTCGTTGAGATGGATGAGCCGTTGATAGAATGACTAAGCACGTCTTTCCAACTTCACCCCGCTTTCCACAAGCTCCGAGGTTGATTATTAACTACTCAGCTAATAGGCCAATGTTGTCCCATAGTTAAAATAACTGGGATTTATATAATCTTATTCACGTCTCGTTGCTCACCCCGCAAACAGGAGAATGAAATCTATGCCGATATGCAATGTGCAGCACATCTCGTTGCTCACCCCGCAAACAGGAGAATGAAATCTACGCCGATATACAATGTGCTTGCACGTCTCCATCGGTCGACCAAAATGTCTTCTTCTAGCAATGCGCCTCGGCCGTCTGCCCCATGATAATATAGCAATCCAAAGAACGCTTGTTTGTTTTGCATTATTGCCTCAACCAGCTATGAATCTGCAAGCTGGCAGTGGTCTTTTCCCAAAAACCATAAGAATTACCTAGGCAGCTCTGCTACGGGTCATCATATTTTAAATATATTCGGTTTTCTCTTCCAAGTACCAATAATGAAGGGGGAACGACGAATATTGCAGTGTCGAATAGGCACAGCAGCAAATGACGGACCCTTGGGAACTCGAGATTTCCACGTTAGTGCAGTTGATAGCGCAGGTCAGTTGTCAAGCACGAAGCGCATCTAGATTATCAACCTCACGTTTATGGATACCAGGCCCGAATTAGTTGTGTGGATGAGCCTCAATAGCAGAACCCTTGCTGGAAATTAGCGTTGACTTCACGTATCATCTCATTCATATCCTGCAGAAAAATTTGCTTGTCTCGCAAAACAAAAAAAAAAAAAAAAGAAAAAGAAAAAAACACCTTTTAAGATTCAAATGTAAATCTATGCCTTGGCGAGCCGAAGGAGACGGACCCTCGAGCGTCCTTGGGTTATATAAAGAAGCTGGAGTGTCCGTGGTTGCAGTTTGATTATTTAACATACCTAACACCCAAAAAGCAGATTTCAACGTATCGATCTTCCAGCCCTGAATGCCATATCCTTCTGGATCGATCAATCCTTTCACCATTTGAGTGCTGCATACCTCCGACACCATATACTTAGTAAGTTTATCCCTGGTTGATGAGTTAACTGAAGCACAATAAAATGCTAATGCATTCGTGTGAAGTGAACGTTAAAATTCCCTGATTGAACTTCATTACGAAGTAACGAAGAAGATCTATAAGAAGCTGTCTGTGGATTTGGGCGAAAGTGCTACGATTGAGCCTGGAGCAACCGTTACTGATGAATCGTTGGATTGGTGAAAAACGATAGTTCATAAAAGACAATCAAGACATTCATTAGGGGTAGTTAAAATGGCCACATGATGGTGATGGTGTGGAATGAAACCTTCCAGCTCGTATCACGATTGTTTTTGTTTGGATACAGCCTATTATTCAAGACTTTAATGTCCGCCCATTCTGTAATTTTCAAAAAGCAGAAAATATAGAATGTAAGTAGAATTAAAAGGCTAACCGGTGTGTGCTCTATGGACCTCAAGACCTGACTCCCGTAATGTGTACTATCAGAAAGTAGTTGACAGGGAGTCCATCCTTCAAACAGGTCTAAATAGTTCAATGTTCTGATGCATTTTAAGAACACTCCAGAGGTCCAAATTAATAAGAAAGCGAGCAAGCAACAGGCTCTTTGACCAAGGGATATATGGACCCCTTTATCATCAGGGTATAACATGCGAAGAGATGCCTCCGCAGCAGGCATCAAGAATACTGGAATCGACCAGCCAGACATCTTGTGGCAGAAAGGGGGGGTTAGCCGGACATAGAAAACGTTGCTGAAGGCTGGCAAATTTAGTTGATACCCGAGACGCTCTGTATCATACATACTTGGTTAGGTTATAGTGAAGAGTTTTTGGCTTCGCGGACAAGCTGCTTCATAATGCATCAGTGATAGACTGCCATGACAACAAGTGGAGTTTTTCAACAGATCTATATTAGGGATTTACCTCCTGCGAAGTTGTCAAAGCGTTTTGTTAGTTTCTCCCCTCTGATAGTTAAAAATTAAGCATGGATGTCATGGCCGTTCAGCGAGGGCTTATCTCCTTCATCCACCGGATATCAAATACTGGTAATTCAGACGCAACCACATTTGAGCTGCGAAAAGCACGCTTGATTGTTGTGCTACTAGCAGGCCATGTCCTGCTCTCGTCCTACAGATGTGACATCTCACCAACCATTTTGGTTGCCCATCAATGAAGGAAAATATTCTATGATGTGTATATCCACCTCCTTGGCAGCCCAATAACCTATCTCAGAGATGGGGGCCTGAACGTGGATCACAAGGCCGTTGAGTGGGATATTTGAGGGAAATGCGCTATCTGCACTGGCTCAGCCTTGCTGACCACAATGGGGGTTGAGATGGTCATTTCGGTGCCATGATGCTGAGAGTATCCTCGTTGACATGGAGAATTATCAGAACCTAAAACTCGGAGCTCCGCGCGGCAAAGGTTGGCTAGGGCCGGTTAAGCTGCCCTGACCTATGGTATCTGTTTTGATTACCCAGAGGCCTTACCTAAAGTTTCGACGAAGCTGCATAACATCCAGGTAGATGGTTGGAAGAGCGTCAGGCCGGACGGAGAATTGTATGAGGTAATTTCTCAACAGATGCTCGCGTTGTCAAACAAAACGAGAAATTGAAGCACTTGCATGCCATTTGACAAGATCCTGAAACTCTCCTTGTACTTTGATTCTTGTTCTCTCCCTTTGGATGGGCGCAATTGGATCACCATTCCTCCAAGGCAGAAGGTCAAGTTGAAGCCTCCGAGCAACGGTCGCCGGACCCTTTCCCACACTTCCCACCCCCAGCGCCACGTTTCTCGCATTTCTGTTTTCCAACACAAACAGCTAGAAGAACTGACGACTACTTACCCAGGCCCATTCGCGCCGTGTGTTCCCCTTGTCAATCAGCATCCATCCCCTTAGCTCCTTAGCCCGGGTGAATCCTCACCTGTCCCACTAGTCGAGGAAGCAGATTAGAAATAGGGGGAGCCATCATAGCATAAATAGGGCCTCATTCCCCCCCTCTTCCTCTCAAAATCTTCCTTCTCTCCTTCTCAACCAAAGCCTTACATTCGAAAGCCTCAGAATCCAAAGATAACGAATTTTCTAAACAAAATTCACCACCAAAACCACCCATTAAAAATGTCTCCCTGCTCCTGCAACTGCTGCTCCGGCGACTGCAACTCCTGCAGCTGCAAAAGCTGTTCTGTAAGTTGGACCTGACGGGGGGCCTATACCACTGTCTACTTATCTAACGATTACTACAGCACTAAGCAGCTCCCGATGAGCTAAATCCTTTTCCCTCCTGTTTTCTTCCTGCCATATATATACTTTCTTTCCCGCCATTGAAAAGGTCCACTTGATATATATATATATATTCCATGTTTCCTCAAACAATATATCGGTTCAGCCATCGCGACATAAGGACGGAAAGAATGGTATATGCCACAATGTTTCCATCTACGACTGCTTCCCCTGGATTCGTTGTCTAATGAGTGGAAGGGGGAGACGGGTTCATCTCAATTTTAACCAGGGAGGGAAAAAGGAATCAATCACCCTTAGCTCTCGGAAAATCTTTTCTTTTGTTACATTGCTGTCTTCCGAGTCGACGTGCGTTGTTTTCTATGCTGTTTGAGCTTGTCCGGTCCTTTCGCGAAAGGGGTGGGTGAGTTTTGAGGAGCAAGGAAAGGGGGTTGTGTGTGCGCGTGGGGGCTGTTAAGATGTAGGAAATCTGCAGATCCGGACTTTCATTAAAAGCAATGGCATCTAAACCTTTAACAAGAAATCTTCCACTCGGTCGAACGCGTACCTTGAATCGTAGACCCCCGCAATTCACCCCTAATTATAACACGGGGGGTCCAAATATTATCATGTCGGAATGTAATGGAACCCTGGAACCTTGATATACCTCTCTTTGCCCGTCGTAGCTCGTACCGTGCAAATCCGTTAAGCAGCTATGAATTTGTAGGGTCTCCCATAGATCACCGGTTTTAGATCCATGCATGTGAGGCCAAAAAGAAAGCCACACGAAATCCTAAGAATTGCTGCCCTAACCCCCTGTATCCTCCCAACCTTTATCTTTATTTAGGCGCCGCTAGCAGTAGTTATTTATGCTCAACAATTCAAACCAGGAGAGAGCTTGCACAAATGAGCCCAACTAACCCCAGCTAACTCCATCAGAGGGTTTTCTATACATATCACATTGTCTCACCCATACCCCCAAACTTTCAAATACAACCACTGAAGAGCCTCTCCAGACCCTGTGTCAAACAATATTCTCCTGTGGTTGACGGACCAAGAGGGTGCCAAGAGCGGAGCCAAGCGATCTGATAAAGAAAGCTCGAGATGTATTAGACGCGTTTGTCAATCACAGCCTCCACTTAGAAGTGATACCAACATCATGGTTACACGATAGCTGCGTTTGAGAATTGCCATGTCGAGTTTGGGGCGAAGAGTGAGAGGAGTCGGGAAAAAGCAAAAAAGAGAAAAGCAAAGAAAAGATGGAATGGAAAATGATCTCCAACCTCAAACACTTAACTAAACCCCAATCGGAGGGCTAGAACCATCAAATTTCCATTTTGCTATCTGACTGGCAGCGTGTTAGAAAGGCGACGATGTCATTCTTGAGACTCGCAACTGGAGGCAAGGAAGCGGACGGAGACGAGAAACAACCTAGTGACTGGGGAGATGGTGTTGAAGACACGATCTCGACAGAGCTCTTGGGGGCTTTTCCTTGGACGTCAACGGGGAGGGCAGATTTATTTGTGATTGAGCCTTAGCTGCCTGGGTTGCTTCTCCTTGGCTTATAATTGGAGGATAAAATAATTGTCAAAAATAACGGAATTTTCCTTAATTCTTCACACCTTTAACCCCCACCAGGTGTAACCCAGAAATGGCCATTTACGATATGGCATTTCATATATGAACTGCCCATCTCATTCCATGTACGCGGCCAATAACAAACACTTCCTTTATTCGAGGATATTATCTCCAGTACGTGGAACCCGGCCAAATG